TTTTTACGAAACATCCCTCTATTACTCTGTTATTTCTTTATTTCGTTTGAAATAACAAAGTATTCGATGGCTATCACACTTCTATAGAATTTAAATCTAGCACGAGAATCTATAATACTTACTGCTTTAAACATTTCACTCACAGGGCTAGCTTGGCTGAAGATGTGGGCATATCATAGACTCAGATTGCTCCACCGTCTATGGTTTGCTCATCTTGTCCACTTCCGTATCTCTTAGAAGAATAATGCAGAGTTTCATTTTAATAGTAAGTAAAATCTGCGTCAAACAAAGTTCCTCAAGGTGTACTGTCTTCATAAAAACTTGGTTCAAAAAATCTTTGCTGAGAACCGTTTTAAGATTTTGAACACTAGAATGCGAGTGTGACCTGTTTCTCAATTCCTCTCATTTCTTACATGCAGAGTTCATTACCTGACCTGTTCTCTGAGAGACCTTGTTTTTATTGTTTTATGATTATTTTAATCCTGTTGTGGTATTTATGATTTCAAAGTCTTACATGTTCTTATCTCTAGGGCAATGATCGCTCAGTATTGACATAAATCCTTAGACAAAAAATCTTTATTACTATTTGCTTTGTAAAATCTCAAGAGGAATGTTTTATCAAATAGTTAATAACATCGAAGAAGTACCGTGAGATTTATGATTCCAAAGTTTTTTGTTAGTGACGTACTTTTAGAGTGATTTCACAGAGGTTCACCATGTTATGCAAAAGTAATTACACCAGTAATGAAAAACTTATTTTCAGATATGGTGTTGGACGTTGAAACCAAAAGCCAAAACCTGATTTCGTCACCTTTTTCGAGAAAAAGTTATGCAAAAACTACTATCTTGGCAAAATGGCTGATTTTTTCTTATTTTTCTATGAAAATGATCTCTATATTAGAACCTTCAGCTTCCACAGAACATGTCGTTGAACTAGTATTTTGGTCTCAAATGAAAGATCTTACCGAAATCTGTATAGGTCTATTGAAAACTTGATGCTAATGCTCAGAACCTCCAAATTCGTTCTAAACTATATCGGTCGATAGCTCTTCGCATTTTGAACAAAATAAAACATTAACCGACGTTTTACAGCATTTCTGTAAAGGCAAGGATAAAAATGCGCATGAAGATTGGTAGTTTTCTTCTCCTTACTTTTCATTTCGTAAAAGCGCTGTGTCTCTTCAGCGAAATGCCGTAGAAAGTTGGATGTGTCTCACTTTCTTCAGAATTCGACAGTCTTTTGAATGGTACGATTGGGAAAGAGATTCACAATCGCTAAAGACCTAAACATTTATACAAAAACCTGCCTTTTCAAAAGGTCTTTTGGACTGGTTTTAAGTCTTCTCATCAAGTTTTTCAGCAAATTTATATAGATCTCGACGAGATCTTTCATTTGAAACCAGTTAAAGCTTCTACAACATATCCTTCCGAAGTTGAAGGCTTTGTAATAGGAGTCATTTTCGCTAGGAAATCAGGAAAATTCAGCTTTTCTTTTGTCAAAGTATTTTCCGCATAACTTTTTGTGAAAAAGATAGCGAATTCAGGTTTTCGTTCTTTGATTTAACGTTCAACACTGCATCAGAAAATGAGTTCTTCGTCAATTGCTTAGCTAGCCAATGTAATGAATGTAGGTTATATATGAACTCACCCGCTTGTAATAAATATTTTGTAACAGAATAATTTATTTACTTCGAAATTGTTCTATAGACGATTACAAAAGTAATAAATGTTTCGGATGAAAATAATTTATTTGCTTGAAAATTTTTCTAAAGATTGCAAAAGTAATAAAAAAAAAACTGAGGAAGTGATAACAGGATTATGTGATATTCTGTAAGAAAATAATCTAAGTACTTGAAAGCTTTTTCAAAGAAGATTACAAGAGTAATCAGAATAACTGAGAAAGCGATAACAGGATAATCTGATATCGTGTAAGAAAATAAAGCGTATATAAGCCGATAGTTTGGCTGAACTAAATTGCGAAAGATTGTCAGAACATCAAGTGAAAAGATCAAGAACGACTCACATCATACAATCTCTCTACACAAAATCAAAAGGTATGTACCTTAACAATTATTTCAAATTAGTTGATGTTTGTGTTTTATGTCACGTAATGCCTTTTATTGTTCTAGATAATTAATTACCAGAAAGATGCAATTCATTAGTATTATTTTTCTTTTGGTTATTGGTTCACAACAGGTTGATTCATCACTGTTTGGTCCACAAATCATTCAAGGTCTAGGAGCAAGTACACCATCAGCAAGAGGCATATTTGCACAAACATGTTCAAAATTGTACGATCTTTTGGCATTTCCACGGAAAGTTGTTGA